TTGATCTCGACCCTTTTTATAGAGGACATCTCTATCTAGGAAAAAACTCATAGCCAACCTTCTGATAGTCCTCTTATCATTTTTTGTTACATGTTCTAGGTATTGCTGGCTTTTAATGTATTGCATAATGTCATGATACCATGGCTTCTTATCAATTTTTTTTGACACCTGAACAATGTGTGGTTTATCCTTTATATCTAGCTTGATGGGTTGGATTTTAGTATTTGCATTTATTTTAATCATTGCAACTAAGTAGCTAGTGCATCAATAATTTGGTTTTTCTCTCTAGGCAAATGCTCAAACTGAACTTCTTCGAATTGTTTGACCAATTCAGATGTATTTATGATACTGGATCAACTTGGAATCTCTTGTTTCCCATTCTTCTCGTAACTAATAGATGACTAGAGCTAAATCTCCAAATACATCCAACACTTTGATCTTCTTTTCAATCGCTGCTTATGGATCCATAACATAAGCTCGTATTCAGCCACATTGTTTGTGCAATTAAAATTCAACCTGGTTGTAATGGGATAATAATGTTCATCGGGAGACATTAAAATTACTCCAATACCATAGCCTAAAGTATTAACAGTTCCATCAAAATACATTCTCTAAGACTTCCCAATAGGTTCATTTTCTTCAATAACTATCACATCTTCATAAAAAAAATTAATTTTATTGGCTTATGCTCTTTGGTTGCACGATTGGTAAGAAACTCGATTATCCACTTCCTTTAATAGCCTTTTGAGTCACACAAACAATATCATATTCTGAAAGCATAACTTACCATCGTGCTATTCTTCCTGTCAATGACGATTTCTCAAATATATACTTAATAGGATCTAACTTTGCTATGAGCCAAATGGTATGATAAAGCATGTATTATCGAAGTCTTCGAGCTGTCTAGGCTAATGCCCAACACATCTTCTCTAATGGTGAATACTTGAACTCGTAATTAGTGAATTTCTTACTCAAATAGTAAATTACCCATTTTTTCCTGTCAGTTTCATCTCTTTGCCCTAGTACATATCTCATTGAATTTTTATGCACTGTTAAGTACAAAATCAAAGGTTTTCTTGGGGTTGGTGGCACCAACATAGGTAGATTGAACAAGTATTCTTTAATCTTATCAAAAGTTTTTTGCATTTATCATTCCATTCTTTTGGATCATATTTTTTAAGAAGCTTGAAAATAGGATCGCACTTGTAAGTGAGTTGAAAGATGAAACGAGCAATATAGTTCAATCTCCCTAGGAAACATCATACTTTTTTGGGGTACAAAGATGAGATAAGTTCTTGATGGCTTGTATCTTATCTGGGTCAATTTCGATTCCTCTTTCACTAACCACAAAGCCCAATAGTTTTCCTAATTTGGCACCGAATATACATTTAGCAAGATTCAACTTCAGCTGAAATTTTTTCAACCTGTCAAACATCTTTTTGAGATTGAATACATGATCCTCTCTTTCATGAGATTTTGGGATCATATCATCCATATATACTTATATTTCTTTATGCATCATATCATAAACGAAAGTCACCATTACTCTTTGATAAGTGGCATCAACATTTTTCAACCTAAAAGATATGACTTTGTAACAGAATGTCTCCCCCATGGTCACAAATATAATTTTTTCATTATCTTCCTGAGCCATTTTAATCTGATTATAGCCTGAAAAAGCCATCCATAAAGGAAAATATGGAGTGTCTAGCAATATTATCTACTAGAGTATCAATGTGAGGCAGAGGAAAATTATCCTTAGGACTCACCTTATTCAGATCTCGATAATCGACACACATTCTCACTTTTTCATCCTTCTTGGGAACTGACACTATGTTGGCTACCCATTCAGGATATTTTACCACCTCTAAAAATCTAGCATCAAATTATTTTTTCACTTTTTCTTTAATTTTTAGCAGTATCTTCGACTTCATGCATCTTAGCTTTTGCTGTACTGGCTTATATTCTGATTTCAAGGGTAACTTGTGCTTTACAATATTAGTGCTGAGTCCTGACATATCCTGATAAGACCATACGAACACATTCTCGGAGCAACTCTTTTAGCTTCTGCCTTTCAGTTGGTAAAAGAGATGTACTAACTTTGATCTCTTTTTTATTTTCATTGTCCCTTAAATTCAATAACTCGATAATTTTTTGGTAGGGCTCTATTGGTTTATCTTCATGTTCTATTAATTTTAATAAATTAAGAGACAGTGTGTAATTATCTAAATTTTTTTCATTATCAAGTTTGTCAACATGAATTAAGTTTTCAAAATCGAATCTGAGGTTATTGTCATGATTATCTTTGTGTTCATTATTAGAGATCCTACAATGGGTAAGATGAAGAGAATATTGGCACACAAAAATAGAATGGCAAGAAAATGATGACAAGAGAAAATGAAAAGTAAAATGAAGATGAAAACAATAGAAGAAATAAGGATGTATCTTCTAAGTCTTTTATTAAAATGACAAACATAAAGACATCGTAAAAGATCACCCAATACTCATAGAAAGCAATTAGGGATTTAAAGTTCACAATACATTACTTTTCAAAAGTTTTGAAGACAATGAGTAGCTATATGATTCTCCAGTTATTCAGCTCAAAATCTAAAGGACAAGGGTGCACGAATAGCTCTTTATCTCATTTTTTTTCTTTATCATCCACCATTTGATTGGCTAGCTCATAAAACTCTTCCACGAATCCTGCATTTAATGCTTCAAGCAAATCTAGGTAAATATATCCTTCCAAATAGAAAGAATCATAGAGGTAAAGGATGACCATGGGCTCTGACTCTGGCTCATATCCCTTAAGATTAGCCATTCTCTTATCTTTTTTCTCATTCACCATTTTTATTCTGTCTTTTCTTGTTGGCTTATATCCTAAGTTGAATCTATCTTTCTTATCATATATTGTTGGTGTCTCTATGATTTCTTATAGGTTCTTCCCTAGTTTAATTCTAGGTTGCCATTCTATTTTAGTAAGCTGTTTAACAACCATTTTAGTAGTCATAAAAAGTGTGGTGAATATAATTTAGATTTTTCAACTATATAAGTTACGTTAGCAATCTTGAATGATCTATATGAGCACTTTAAGGCTTCATCTGCTACTTCTACATAATAAGTATTTATTGGTTGGGTGACCAATAAATCTTTTTCTCTTACCACACATGTTAGTTTTTTATCAATAATGAATTTGACTTTTTGATGCAATGAGGATGGAATAGCACTTGTCATATGAATCCATGGCCTACCCAACATATAACTGTACGAAGAAGAGATATCCATAACTTAGAATTTCACGTTGAAAGTACACGGACCAATCTGTAATGGCATTTTTATGTCTCTCAACACCTCTCTTTGGGTTCATCGAAGGCTCAAACTATTATATGACTAGGTTTCATATAAGATCCATCAACAGGCAGTTTGCTAGAGTAGTCATAGGCATAACATTAATGGATGAGCCATTATCGATCAAAATTTTAGCCATTATATGACTCTTGCACTTTACAGTAATGTAGAGAGCCTTGGTACTTCTTCGACCTTTAGGAGAAATCTCCTCATCACTAAAAGTGATATAGTTTGAAATTATCAAATTGCCTATAAGCTGTTCTAAGTACTCAACAGATACATTATAAGACACATATGCTTGATTGAACATTTTTAGTAGAGCGTTACGGTGTGACTTTAAGCTTAGCAATAATGATCATAGTGAAATTCTAGCTGATATCTTGTTAAGTTATTTTATCACGTTATACTTGCTATGTTTTATTAACTTTAAAAATTCACAAGTTTACTCTTAGAAACTGACTTTTGACATTCTTTATCTGAGACTGCAACATCATTATTTTGACTTTTCTCTTTTTTTTCACTTTTGCTTTCTTTTTCTTGGTTTTCTCTAAACCTTTTGGAGTTATAACACCTTTAACTTCAGGTTGTACCTCTTACGTCCATTATATTTGCAGTATCTGGGTTGACTACAATATCACAATCATACTTTCATGTTACTGCTTTATCATTTTGGTATAGAAAAGGGCTAAAAAATTTAATTGTCATTATTGATCGAGAGATGAATTTTTTGGCATCGATGTTGACTTCTTATCATAATAAATTGTTACTGATTTACATAAAAACTTATTCTTTGAATCAATGGTAAACATTTCAGCTTTTATCAACTCTTATCTTTTTTCGTAAAACTCTATCTGACCCATATCAATCAATTTTTACACCTCTTGATGAAATTGGTGACAACTCTCGATAGAATGTCCTAAAGCACCTTTGTGATAATTACAGCTTTTGATTGAATTAATCACTTTAGAGCAATTCGGAGGTTCTATTGACTTTAACATGTCAGCTTTAACCAAGGTTTCAAACACTTTAGCCATAGGAGTTTTGACCTCTTTTATATTTTTTTTCACATAGCTTGCTTGACCATCAATCAAAGCATCTATTGATGGCCTAATATGGTTCGGTAGAGGGTTTTCATTAACATTTGGAGTCCCTTGTTGGCTGGTCTCAAAATTTAACATTTTTTTATTGATTAACCCTTATACTTTACGCTTCAAAATAGTACAATCTCAGTAGAATGACTTGGCTCTCATAATGATAATCACAATGTGCATTAGGGTCATACCATTTAAGAAATAGAGGTTTCAAAGGTTCAACAATAACAGGAGCGAGTAAATGTTTCTCAATAAGTTGAGGGTATAAATTCACGTATATTATGAGAATAGGTCAAAAATAGGTTTTTCTTGGGCATTTCTTGAAGTTTCTAGGATCACTATTTAGACTATGTCTCTATTATAGTCTTGTAGGTGCAGCAGGATGGTTATGAGAATAGGTAGGTGTTTAAAAATATGGCTAAAATTGAGGTGGATAAGCTAGTAGTTGTAATGGATGGTATGGCTGATACGAATGAAAAATAGGATGTAATATTATTTATGAAAGGGTAATGAGTTTGGTAGACTAATGAAGGATAGGTCATCAAACCTCTGAATTATTGCCTCATATAGTTCACTGCTTGAGCTTCATTCTCTTTTCTTTTTGGAAACTTCACCTTTCTTTGCTCTGCTCGTTTCTCCTGCATCAAGCTTACCATTCTTTATACTGTTTTTGATAATCTCACATGATATCACTATATCTATAAAGTTCTTAGTTGCATTGCCTATTAATCTCTCATAGTATGATGCTTTTAGGATATTCACAAATAAGATAGTTATTTCTTTCTTAATGAGAAGAGGTTGAACTTGTGTAGTCACATCTTTTCATTTTTGTGCAAACTCTTTAAAACTTTCTGTTACCTTTTTTTTCATACTTTGTAGAGATAGACGGTCTGAAACTAGATTCATGACATAATGATATGTAAAAATGCCCTAGTGAGCTCTTGCCAAGAATTAATATGAGTCTTATCTAGTTGGTCATATCATCTAGCTACAAATCTTATAAGATTATCTTGAAATACGTACATCAATAACTTCTCATGATGAGCATGTGCTATCATCTTACAATAATACATGGTGATATGAATCATCGAATATTTTATGCCATCATATTTTTTAAATTCAAAGACCTTGAATTTAGGTGGAATGATCACATTTGGGACCAAACAAAGGTCGATTGTATTCGTAGAGCCATAAAAATTCATTCCCTCTATGGCCCTAAATCTTTCTTCTAATACTTTCATCTTCTGTTGGGCATTGGTATCTTCTACTTTTTTGAGTGTCTTCATCCCTAGTTTTTCTCTCTCATTGGGATCATCCAAGTTAGGAATCAAGATTGGCTCAAGTGATTTTTTCATCATAACGGGATTAACAAAATTTTAGAATTATCTTAAAGTAGGTGTGGATGTCATTACTGGATAAGGATTTGGATATTCACTGGGAGTAGAAATTTGTACTCTAATTTCTTGAGAAGGTTGAGTCGATCGTGGCTCAAACCCTAGAGGATAAACAAGATCTATCATATATGACGATTGTTCTTGAAAGCTGAGATTTTTTTCTATTGCTTTTCTCTTGTCAAGTTTTCTGAGTATATCCATTATTACACCGAGATCCCCTTTTAGTTCTTCTTAAGCTTTCTTTATTCTTACAAATCGACTGACCTGTTCTTGCTCCATGATTCTTGTTTGAGTCCTGGTATTGCATGAATGACAAGTAAATTGGATCACAATTTTTGATGGATGAGCTATTCTTAAACCTTTATTACCACAAAGTTTTTTTTTTTTAAAAGGAAAAAAAAATCAGAATGCTCTGTGTTGAAAATTTTATTTTCACTTATTTTATGAAAATGATGTACATGATGCATGAATGTAAGTGAAGATATTTACTCTCGGATGAATTTTAACACTAGAAATTTTTATTAATTCTATACAACTTTTATTACATGGGATTTACCATCTTAAAATTATAACTTTAGAAGCGTTTAACTTGTTCATAATGGTCATTCACCTTGTTTAGAAAGTTCTTTAGGCATTGTCCATATCTTCCTATGGGATTGACTTCTCTTTTTAATGCTTTTACCTTTTCAACCATCTTTCATGCTTTCTTCACTACCTTGCAAACTTGATTAGTCAGATGTTCTATGTACTGTTGCCTCCTTAAGCTTTCTACTTTTTATCTCATGCGAGTATCCCTTTCTGAATCACATGTGAATATTCAATCTTTATCCCTTTTATGCTACTCATCTATTATTGCTGAAATATGGCTCTTATAGTCTTGCAATTGCATCTCTAACCCTTGGATCACCTGGTGAAGTGATTCTTTTTCATTCAGTACTTTAAAGTGCTTTCTTCTTTTTTTTACGAGCATGGCTTTCAACCTTTCTTCTCTTTTTGGCATTCCACCAATCTTGTTGAAGTTGTAGAGTATAACCCCTTCCAATTCTAGCATTTTTGAGAAATTTTGATGGTTTTCTCTTGCTTTTCTTGAGCTTTGCACTTTAATTGGTTTATTACCTTTCGGAGCTCATCTATTTCACGTTGCCGACTAAAGTAAGACTTGATCACTTTTTCAATTTTGAATTGAACTCGTAATCTCTTATTTTCTTGGTGTAAATCTTTCAAATCATTGTTGACCACATCTCGTTCTTTTATGATATTTTTCAATCTGTTTCTTTGTATTTCTGCTTCATATTTCAACTGTCTTACCTTTTCACAAAGTTTTAAATTTTTCTTCTTATTTCTTCTTTTTCAGCTTCTAATTCTTTTTTGACAAGCTCAACTTCTAATAATTGCATTTTTGTAGAAAGATTAGCTAATTGGTGTAAGCTATCATCAGGAGAGAGTATTATGTCTTTAGGCCGCTTTGCTTTCTAAATTCAATAATCATGAGTGACTTTGTCGATAAAAGATCTTAATCTTATTCTTCACGTTTTCTTTCATGTTTGAATCAATTGCTTCAAGGTTCTTGGTGGATTTGATTCCCCGTAAATTAATTCTACCTGAACCAGGCCATGAGTAGCAGGAACAAACTGCTTTGCACCAAATTGCCTAAGCACCATCAATGGAACATAACTTACAACACCTCATAACCCTAACAGCGGTATCCACGACTCATTTTATCTATGATACAACAAAGGCACACAAGGTATCCAAGGCACCATCCATTTAATTTCATTCCCGATAAGCCTTTGTAAGAAAAAGACCCACTCTTCCTTAATCTTCAATGTTGGCCATTAGTTTTTGTAGAACTCTTCAATTTGTGCTTTGTTTTGTAGATACGACTTTGAAAATGTAATCTTTTCGCACTTTAAATGACTTCTAACCCACACATATAATAGCGGTGCACACCCTATAAACCATCTTTTTTCATTTCGTTGATAAAAATTAATGACCTGATGGTTTTAGCTAGGACTACTAGAGCGAGATTAATTGTTTAGGTTTCAATTTGCTCAAAAAAGTCTACCACAGTCATCTCAATGTAACCTAAAGTCTTCGAAAAGATTAGAGCAAACACAGCCATGCCTTAATATCATTTAAATGCCCTTGAATAAAGTTTTGGAATAAAGTCCCAATGGATGCCGAGATGTTCACCTTTAGGCTTTGTGGAAGAATCAATGGTTTTCACTTTAACCCCTATAAGCTTAGCCAACTTTTTGTGATAACTTGATTTCGACTTTCGAGTAAACACTTTATTTGGACACTATAGTTTATTACAAGCAAAATCGAATACTCTTTACTAGTTGACACCAAATCTTCCTGATTAAAGTGAAACATCTATAGGATGGATCCCAAAATTGTATAGCTTCCCTGATCAACTGTTCATCGATCATTACTAGAATGAGGGATGCAATTTACCCATACTTCTTGCAAAAGTTTTTTTTTTTTTTCTTTTTCACTTAACTAACCCCAGATGGCAGCTAAGTCTTCTAAATCATTCTGTGTGAGATCCAAATGCACCTTCTCATGTAACTCAGACACATAGCCAATAGAAAAGCAATTTTCATTCTTTTGTTAGGCTTCTTTCGACTAAACATATACTTCATTATACGGCTCACATGGGATACTGACTGAGGATAAGCAAATCTATAGTTCTATGAGATCCATGAAAACTTCTTAGGAGAAATATGTCCTAGAGAAATATCTCGATGTAAAACTGTATGATATGATTAATGCAAAAAAAAAAAAAGAAAATGAATCAAAATTGAGTTAGTGTGAGGATACAGTTTGAGAAAAAATATTTTTTTGAGTTTTGAGGATTTTTGTTTTGTTTTATTTTGTATTACACACAACTTTTATTCTTAGGTATTTCTTTTAAAAAGTGGATGAAGCTCTACCTAAAACTATTTTCCTAGGCTTATTACATGCTAGGTTTGGATTGACACATGTCTAAAGGTTCCCAAATTGTTTCTCACTGTCGTCCACGCTAGACTAGTGACGCACTCCGATTTTCACTCATTACAAGCTATGAACGAAAATGGTTCAATTTGAGTGAAACTATTTCGCTTGCCATTATGGAGGTTATCACCTTATGAGGCTATATGTACTCTATTTTTCCTATAAGGGACGGAGCCCGGGTATAGAGCTCATGCATGAGATGCATTGTGCCATTGTGTGTGCAAATATATCTTAATTTATTGAGAATAATATATACAAAAAAATAAAGCATAAAAAGGCATAGTAAAAGAAATGTTAGTGAAATTTTTTCTTTTTGTTTTCGATTTGTTTTTTTTTAAGTGAAAAATAAAAATCGAAGAAACCGATTAGCACATTTAAGTCAAAATTTGAGGATAACACGTAATTAATTTTGGCCTTGACTCTCAAAAACAAATGGATTCCCCAGTGGAGTCGCCAAGCTGTCGTAATGATTTTGTGTTCACCCGACGAATTTGAAAAAAAAACAAAAAAAGGGGTTACCACCAATCTTTTTTGGCTAAGTGTGATTGGCCACCAATTAAAACATATCCTTTTTAATGAAGTCTTAAAATTAACTAAAATTTATTTAAAAGATAATTTTAGGGTCTGTGTAATAGTCTAGGTTTAGAAGTCGATTACGTGTGGAGAAGATTAACACCTCTATAACGTCTGTTTAAAATGATACTAATTAATTATGTGTTATCCATTGATTTTAATAAAAAAGTCTTATTTTTGGTGTTTGAAAATAATTTTCTAAATAATTTCCTTGATTTTTCATATATTAAAAATTATTTTTTTAATTTAATTTTATTTTTAGTGCTCAAATTTTATTCGAGAAAAATAAATTAAAACTCTTTTATCAAAATAATTCTTAAAATGTTCTAGTACGTTGGTAACATTAGAATAACCTTTTTTTACCTAAAGATTTATTAGGCATCACTTCTCGGAATACCTTAGAATCTCATCATCGGAGGCTCAAATTTATTTTTCGTAAAAAAACTATGACATGCATGCAATGCAAATGATAATATGTTAATGCAAACATTTTATTTTTTATTTAAAAATTTTATTAATTTTAATTAATTTTTTATCATTATTTTTATTTAAAAGATGAAAAAAATAAGAATTTTTATTATATTGAAGATTTTCTATAAATATTCCAATACACTAGTAATATTTTAAAAAATCTTCTCACCTAAAAATTTTTTTAAAGCATCTCTACTGGAAATACTTTTAGAATCCCATCA